TCACGTAAAATGCCGGCATTGACGCGCTGAAGTGCGTGCTCGCCTCCACTATTCGTTTTCTCTGCGCTCTCTCAAAGGAGAGAGAATATGTCGAGCCAATCCGCCAATATACTGAGCGCCGTTCATGTAGGAAGTGCAAGGATGGCTCACATGGTAGATGGCCGGGGAACGGTCAACAGAATCGATGGCTCGTCGCGCCACCGCGTGCGGCCAATCGTGCGGCGAGGGGGCGGAGCCTTCAGGACGAGTGTTGTCTATATCGACTTCTGAGTAGGATGGCGATCTTCATACTCTCTCTTTGTGACTAGTAGGATGTTTTACAGCGTGAAACTTAAAGTGGGTAGACTTACTCCTCCAAACTATGATGACCGTGCCTTTCTAAAATACACTGTTCATCATTTTAACCACCTGTGATTCAATACTATTTGTTCTTTGGTAATTGCAGAGCTTAAGAACTGGAAATTCTTCTTTGACACGGTTTCCCTAACTTATATCTTGAATTATTCATATCAAATTTTAACTAACAGATGGCAACAGAGCTGACGCTCACTACTAGTTTCCAGTAAGAGTTATGTGGATGCTATGAACAAAAACTGTTGCATCGAATCATATATACCGCGGCTTATCGCAACCTTTCTGGGGCTCTAAACAACAAATTCAAACGAAATCTCAATTGGATTCTCCTCACTGGACATTTCTGTTGTTTGTCCGAGCAATGAAGATCTTGTGCGACCTAGTCCTAAAGACAAGAGCCTGAGGCGAAGCCGCCAGCACCATACGTGTAATTGGTTATATCTGGGGGAAAACAATGGTTACAGAACCTGTCCCAAGGTACTTTGCCGTGATGACTGCAAACACTATGTTGACTCGAAACAATTCTTTTAATAGTCAACTATTATATATTCGCAGGAATAAGACCTAAAAATAGCTATTGCTTGCTATCATATGGTGTGGCTATCATATGGTTGACTACAACATTATCTAAAACATCCTTTTTGTTTGAACGAACCCAGAGTGAACGATTCATCCCGAACATCTTTTTTATGACCACATTCAAAAATTCAGCGTGTTGAGAGCATGTAAGAGCTGAATCACGATTGCGCATCGAAGCAAATACCTCAATAGTTTGGCTTACAGCAAAAGGAAGAAGTCGAAACTTTGACTCTCAATTCTTTTAGACATCAGAATAATTCAAGTTATTTGTCCAGGAAACACACCTAATCAGAGCAAAGATAGGATCACCTTACTGGTCGTCGTAGTTCTTTATTTTGTTCGCTACCACACGGTTCTCATAGAGAAAATGTGTTTTGTAAAATAATGGCGCTGTTTAGAGACACTGTGAGTGAAACTTAGTAGTAGTGTAGACAAATTATATTCATGTTTTGATCACAAAGCCCAAAAAGCTACATGCTTATTATAGATTTAGATAAGGAACAACTACAATATTAAGATAGCTAATGAAAGTGACTGTATCCTTGCTCCGAAGTAGAACACGTAGGGTTCAACAATTAGAAATTCCGCTGAACAGTCATTCACAATCACAGTCATCGGAATGCTCAGAAAGTCCCACGCCATTAGTACATCCGATATCTGGCAATGGACACGCCCACCCGCCGCGCCGTCGTGCCACGCCTGGGCGGCGATCCATCGATTCTGTGGACCGGAGCCAGTATGGCTCGCTTGAGATTGGGGCGGACCCGGTTTGCGACGCTCAAACCACCTTGGATTGTTGTCTTGACAGCAGGGTAGCCTCAATGTCGGCATAGCCCTTAGTAGGATTTTTAATGCAGAAAGCGAGGGGATGCGACGCACATTGTACGTGACTGCGGCAGGAACACTATAATTCACGCGGACTCCAGGTGCTCGCTCTGTCTCCAAACGGGTTATCTCGTTCTTTTAGTATTGCACGTGCAATCGCACAGCGACAGGTGGGCTTGCGGACGGAGGTGTGAGTTGCGGTTGGGCAGCCAGGTTGCCGCTTTGTCCGCCTTTTTTGGCGCAGAAGAATGCGCGACATCAACGCTGTCGCCTGGTCTATTACCGTAGGGGCGGTGGAACCGGAGAGCGGCCTAATCCCGGAGGTGGCTTTAACTAAACATAAATGCCATGCATGGCGCATCAGGGAATGGGTAAGTCAAAGCTTAAGTTTCACTGTCTTGTCGTTTTATCCCGCAACGATTACTTCCACTTGCAGATGCCTACGATACTGACCAGATCGTGATTCGATGGAACGGAAAGCATCCGATCGAAGTGAATTCCGAGATTCGCATGCCCGATATGCGATTACGGGCAATACAACACGTCATACGCAACGATACCTACGTAACAGGTCGCAGTGAATCCTACTGTAATCTCCGTAGCTAGAGTTGTTGCGCCTTTTGTGGGAAAAATGATGCATCACTCGCAAGTCGCAACGCGACCGCGTTGCACCCATTGACGCGTAGTCTTGAACCAGTTGAAACAGACGCGTCATGCCTTTAACCTTACCGAGCGCCTCTAGTTGTCTTATTTGTTTATTTATGTGTTACATATAGGCGTGCCCTTGACACTGCTGCGAATCAAGTAAACATAAAAATAGTCAACATCGAGGGAAAAATAAATAGTAACCACAGGAGAAACAAATGAATCCAACGACGACCAGTTAATTTTTACTAAGGAATTAAGAGAGAAATAAATAATCTGTGCCAGAGATCGTCAAAGAGCCTTCGTTTGACGACACCGCTCGTATTGATCGATTCTTTTTTGAGACATGACGTGCCCCCCCCCCGAACCCGAGTTTCATCAATTGTTGATGTAAAGTAAAAGGATCCATATTTGGTAACAGCGTCGAGAACACTACAGAATCACGTACATCTTGGATTACAAACCTCAAACAAGCCTTCCCTTGATCTTCACTACCACGCAACTGCTTAGACGGTAACCGTCTTGATCTACCGTCGATGCCCTCGAGCGCCAAAAAAAAGAAGCGTTTCCCTGAAATCGAGGGACTGGCCAAAAATGAGACACTGTGATTGTTGGGGAGAGTGCAGACGGCTATACGAGGGATTGGCCAACCATCAATCGTAGACCGAAGTGAACTACCTTTGAGCATTAGAAGCCAAAATCAAAGGAAAGTTCGAATAAGAGTTTGCTGTACAAAGTTTTTCGCAATGTGGTGGCGGCACTGGAAAAGTGCAGCTCTATATGAGCAGTAGAACTGCGATGATTTGCGAACAAAAGGACCGATACGCCCCATGTAACTACCCAACCGCGACGAGCACGCGCGCGACAACATCCGTCGACCACGTTTGGGCTTGAGAGCGATAGCTTCAATCTTCATAGTGCTATATTCGATGTAAAATTTTGGCACTACTGCTCTATTGCGACCACAGACCAGATTCGGTCCTACCGTTGCGACTTTTCGGAAAAAATTCACAGACCCCCTTCACATCACAATCCGCCATCATGCATCGCTCTTTCTATAGATTTAATTTCGAATCACCGCGCAGTCCGATACACCCTAACTCCACCTCACTTTTCTCTCCACTACTCCAAAACAGCCGTACGAACGGCCTGGGATGAGTTATACGAGGGGGGGGGGGGTATACGTACAGTGAAGCGGCAAAAATTTTTCCATCACACAACGCACTCTAAACTCATCGATGAATTCCAAAATTAAATCGGATTCGACCCTCTCACCTACAAACTCATCAAAATAAGACTTCTCCCCCTTTGTACTTGCCGCAACATAGGGTTGAACCTGCACCCCGACAGACCGATGGTGCCAGCGTCAAAAACACAGTGAGACAAACAGAGATCGGGCGGGTCACATCGAATCAGATGACAAAAAGCCCCAACTATGCGAGAGAAAAGGTTGGCAAGCAAAAACCTCGCGCGAAATGGCGTCAATGTCAAAAACAATATCATATTCGTTGATCACGAACACGGCCAGAAACATCGAAGGAGCTCTCGCAGGATTTAATAGTGAAGTGGCCGATTTATCCTCTATTCAATTAATATCGTTATTTACATTTTTATAACTATTTGCTTAATATTCTATTTTTAATTGTTATCTTCAGAGCAAGTATGTCCTTCCCCTGAAGCAGCATTTTTCAGGACTTTGGTCTGCGCACTGACAGAAATTTAAGTTTGACCGAGACAAGATCAATGCACCATATCATCCAGCGTGAGTGAAGCTCGCCGTTCTTCTTTCATCAGATCAAACAAGGACCAGCTCGAGAGAAACAGAGCAAACTCTGTGTCTCTAACGGCGGCTAATCCATGTGAAGGGGAAAGGATGAAAGAGAGACCATTCCGGCGGAATATTTTTCTGCAGGCTGAAATGATGACCGATTCGCCGAACAGATCAATTGTAAAGCAGGGTGGCATCGCCGACGAGCTCGCATCACTCTTAGATATCACATGGTAGTTTTTCGCGAATATTTCTATACGAGCGCCGCATCTATCACGCAGTCAGGGCGGAGAACCACTGTATGTCAAAAAATATAGCTCCCATCCCAGAACTTCATGCCCTACTTGAAGGGAAAGCAAAGAGATTTATAGTCCTTAATCATTAAAATAGTTCTCCTATTGATAACCACGCCTTTTCAGTCGTACGTTCCCACAGCTCTGATCGTTGTTATTTCATGGTTTTCGTTTTGGTTGGACGTTGAGGCTGTACCAGGCCGGGTGAGTCAGCCTCATTCTCATTCTTGAATTTTTATTTTTCTTCATGCTACAATCAGAAGTCCTCCAACACTCTCATAAACAGTAACAGAGCTGTTTGTTCGCTCACCTGCCAATAGAAGACACTAGATAATGCTCCGGAAATGACAAATAGGTTTGATAAACGGACTCATTGTCGTATGCCTGACGGGAGGCCTGTCATGCGGCAGGAAGGCAGAGAAGCAGGCGAGGAAGGGCACCGAGTAATCAGCGCGCACTGAAGCCATTGTGGGACATATAGGGAGCATTCTATTTAATTTGGCGCTAAAAAAGTACGCGCAGCAGCTCGTCCGCCCTCCTGTCTGCGTCTCTGCCTTCTCGCCACGCGACGCGCCTTCTGTCGAGTATCCCTCATTGTTAGAGCAAAAGGGGCGGAGTTTGTGAAGTTCTTAGACAATCGTCGCAAAACTAGCGGTTAATTGACATAATTCACACACCAAAAAAACAAGCCACCAAAAGGAAAAGCTCACACCTCCAATAACCAGTGTAGAGGAACTCGCACGAAGCAACGCCCACCGTCACCCCGCCCTTCCCGGCTGGAAGAACGGCAGTACTTTTTCATTTCCTCATTTCCACCTGTACGCGCGTAGGAAAATGCGAGCGGGGGGGGGCATGATTTTTCAAAACATTATGGCTTTTGATATTGTTGAAAGATTTTGGATATTTCCCACTTGAGATCTGCGGGTTAGTGGCGCAAATTTCTGACTGTATCTGTACAATTAAATAAAACTACTGTAATTAAAATTTATATATTAAGGTATCATTGTCTATCACAACTCTATTGACGTTAGCAACACAGAGCAGTGCAGCACGAATGGCATTACCACAGGTCATTCATTTATAGGACTTCTTTTATCATTATATTGTATCTTGTTTCATTTATACTAGCACTTTCATCCTTTATCATCCTTCTTTGCTTAATACTTAAAGGCAGATGCCACGATAAATTGAGCGTTGAAAGAACAAATGTCCCTACCGCATGGAAAATCTGTGCCACCCAAAAGCAAAACGTGGACATTTTTACGGCGCGAATGGCGAGCCTGTAGATGCATGGACAAGGCATCCCCCGTCCCTTTCGATACCTTTTTACTCTGCCTGCCCACAGATTGGTTGCCACGGCTGCTAGACCCTTGAATTTTAGTTGTAAGAGCAATGTGCTGATGAGTTCAGCACCGCTATGTCCCGCACCAACCGGAACGCGGAGGAAAAAAGGCCCCGTTGAGCAGGTTCTGTTCCTTACCTGTAGTTTTTCTTCGCCATTGCGGCCATTACCACCTCTACTTTTCGTTTCCATCGGTGGCCAACTTTTCGTGCCATCTGACTTTAGAGGTAGAAGAGGAAAAGGTGTAACCCTCTGGAGTGAACCACCTAGCACGCGGCTCTGTGACTGTGCATTTAGGACATCGGTTTACCTTATAACTCCTATCCTTACCATCCTACTCAACATTTCCCAGAAGTCCGCGCGCCGGCAGTGGTGGTGGTATATGACTGCCAATCACGAAAAAGAGATTATTTCCGAGTTTCCCAAAACTTCCTCCCAATTCTCAAAAAAAAATCATTGTGCCATGTCTTCTAGGAACATTTTGTCAATTTAACCGAAAACAACTCCCTTCTCCCTATTTTTAAAACTTCGACCCATTCGTTAAGCGATGTACAACAAATAGTTGACCCTTCTGGGACGTCTCCAGCGCTCATATCTCAGCAGCCAGCCCAGAGCGCCTTTCAGTACCAGCTTTTCAGTCAATTTCCATGCTTATTTTCAGAGATTTCCCTCAAGAGTTCAAAGAGTTTGGGCAGAACATACATAAGTAGTGCTGATGCAAATTCATCGTGATGAATTTGCTTTCCAGGCGTCGTATGTGAAGGCTATCGATGTATGGATGGGTGCTTGTATGGCTTTTGTGTTTTCTGCAATGATCGAGTTCACGGTATGTCACCGTCTTAGTTTAGAAAATAATAAAAATAATACTAAAATAACCAAACTCATCGAAAGTCATAATCACGGATTCCCGTGACGGATTTTTGTTCTTGTTCCACACCCCCGTGTATTGTTAAACGATTTTTCCTCGGAAACCAAATGCAGTACCACAATGTCGGAAAATGAGGTAGTAATCCCTTGAACTTTATGATTTTTGATGCGCTAATTTTGGACTGATTGCTCTTTTACGGGCAACCTGTTGAATAGCAGAAAAATTCAAAGAATTGCTTTTTTCTTTTCGATTTCGGTCGCGAAGGAGTGCTTCTGCAAATGTCCTTGCGGTCCTAACGACCCCTGTGGTATGCCATGACTGTGTGGAAAAAACACCGACGAGAGAATGGAAAAGGCAGGTTGCCTGAATGTCGCTGTCGCGTCAGCGGAAAGGAACATCGGATTTAGTAACCCCTAGATCAACTGAGCACACAATTTCCCTCTGATCAGCTCTATAGTGCTGGACTTATTCGAGAAAGGAAAAAAACCCCAGTTAGATCACAGAAGTGGGCGGGTTGCTTGGGCATGGACTGACTAAAGCTAAGCTGTCAAACGGCTCTGGTTTTGAACGAAGTTCGAGTGCATGGCATATGCTATGTGTTCCTGTCAGATATTCAGAAAAAGCATTTCAGCAAAAAAATCCACGGAATGGACGATTATTGATTCGATTGAATTTTTCAGGTTGTGAATTATTGTACTCGACGGAAGCAGAGAAAAGTTCGCTCAACTACAAAAAGTCTGAGTGAACAGGTCCATAATCTGGTTGCTCAATACAAGAGAGAGGGTAGGTTGCTACGATCGACTGTCAATTTTTTGTTAGACTTCGATTGATCAACAGTTTCAGAGCACAGATTCTGCTATCTATCAACAGGTAGGTCAACATTCAAGGGCACTTTTCTGTTCAAACTTTTCGAATTGGGTTTTTGGTTCGGCTGTCTTTTGTTGAAACTTGTAGGGGATAAGTAGTGATTTCAGAGGAAATTGGTAGGATTGAAATCGGCGGGGTTGGAGCAGTGGCAAGTGGCGCAGTTGGCACATGCCTGTTACGAGGTCGAATCCCGAGTAGAATACTGCTCGAATAAGCTTACCAGTTTACACATCTATAGGACGCACGGATTGCGCATGTTCATGTGGTTTGAAGAAAGAGTCTCACCGGGCTCAGACCAATCCGTAATTCAAACGTAATGTGGTTTTTGCGGTAGAATGGGAAGGACGTGGGCGACATAGAGCTGTTTCTGGTGATATAAAGCCCCTTCTTCTTAAAAATCATGATCAGAGCAAAATGAAGGCTTCCCGGTAATTTCTGCTCGTCCTTCGTTTGAAGCTTTTTTGGATTTAGTCGCAGAACGAATGGTTATGCCGAAGTACTAGGCACGCGCGTTTGCACGAAATGCCGAAGCTTTGGAGGTATCGATCATTGAAATCGCAGGAATGCACGTGGGGCGGTAACAAAGTTGACCCGGAGGAGAAAAGGTTGGAGCACGTAGTGCAGTGCTAATGGCCAGAACGATATGCCTAACTCTTATGTCTGTTAACTTTTGAAGCGACGCTTCATTAAGTTATCTATAATATTTGGGGCGAACTCCTTGAGCACATCCATTAGGTCATCCATGAGTCACTATAATAAATCGAATATCGATTAAGTCCAAAGCTCATCGAAAGCACAGGATAAGGTTTTTTTCGCAACTCTTGGTGAAAGTCACGAGCGTGGCGCATTTATTCATTAAGAGGAATCAGGGTGTAGAAGTTTAATCTCTCCAGAAAATCAAGTGAAGCAAGCAGTTTCAATTATGCGTCATAAGCTCTAATGCTCTCAGAAATTTTGCATGCTTTACTAGCTCTTAGCTTCATTTTAGTGTGTTTTTTCACTGTCCTTATTTCTATCATTTTGTTTGACTTTGAGGAGACGTTGTGCAAGGTTTGGGGGAGATATAATATTAAAAAATGTGATTAGTTCACCGCTGCACCGCAGTTGCGACGGTTTAACGTCGGTAATTAAATAGTTATCTATTCTTTCTTTTTTTTATCAAAGCTAATGTTTTTGCTTTTTTTTTCTGCTACCTTCGTGACGTGTTGGGCTTGTGGCACCAAATTTTGGTGCCAAAATTGGGTACCATATTTTCCGCGCACTGTGCCTTTAAATCCATATTTTATTCACCAAAAATTTGAAAAATTATTTCGGTTTGATTGTGGCCTTTGTAAAAAATTGAATTGAATAACTGCTGACCTCGAGAACTAATTGCATGAACTAGACACGCATTTTTATGGCCACTATTATTCTTAATGGATGTCAAATGAATCTCTAATATAACGTTCGATACCATGTTTCAATATATACTACACACATACTTCCATTTCAGTACCAAAACGGATCCACACCTTATGAGGTGTCCTTATTCGGCGAAAGTGACAATCCGGCCAATTCGACAAGCCTGCATAAAAAACAGATACGTTGCAACTAATTCAAGCCCACCAGTGTTGATGCGACGGGGAACTTTTTACCGAGTATCAAGCGAAAGGCTATCGAAGAACGGTGGGTTTCACTTTTGGACGAGTTGTGTTGATTTGTGGACGTGCCTAAAATGCTAATTTGAGTCGTCGGTTTACTGTGAGGACCATTACTTATTCCTGTTTATGAAGGTCGGAAACTGCTATTTTTGAAGAAACAAAACTTTGATAAACGCTGAACACTATGTAATGAAGACATTGCTTCAAGCAGTCTCTTTTTGCCCATATGCAGAGTATAATGCCAGGCTTCCTTCACGATTTGGGGCGCGGCCGCGGCGAGCGCGGACGAGTCGATAGTGCCGCGAACTGTGCGGGTAAATTTGAAAACGCTCCACCACCACAGTTCGCGGGCACTGTGGACTCGTCCGCGCTCGCCGCTGCCGCGCCAAATCGTGAAGAAAGTGGGAGGGGGAGCAAAGTAACTCATAAAAAGCTAGGCACTATCTACAAATTCCGCGTTGTGGTTCTGCCCTTTTTATGGACCTCCTTGATCTTGTAGAGGTGAAAAATGGCTGAACTCGTTGTAAAAAATATCTATTTCAGAATAAGTCGAGTGGAAGAGAACCGGAAATATGCACAATTGATCGATCGACGGAGTCGAGTTTACTTCCCTTTGGCATACATCTTATTCAATTTCATCTATTGGGTTTACTACATCAAATTCGCCGAAGACACAATTGAATAGGAATCGGACAAGCCCTGAGGCTAGAAACGGAGTCCATCTTTTTCTGGGAAATTCTGTTGCTCAATCGCTCAATCTCTTCAATTCCGTCCGTACACTATCTCTTTGGTCAAGTTGTCATCCTCTCAATTTCAGTCTCTAATGTATTTACTGGTTCTTTTCTCATTGTACCATATCAAACGCTGAAGTTTCTTGAGTTAAAGGCACTGGACACGATGATCGCGTGGGCGGCGACTCGCCCTCTCCTATGCTCTCTCGCTTTTGCGCCAAATGTCTCTTATAAGGTGCAGTCTTTCAGGGCGAGCCAGCGACTTTTTAGGGGAAGTGGTTTTCTTCCACGTTGTACGGAGCATGTTAATGAACCATTAAAACCGCCTGTTTCGTTTTCGCTGAACGGTTTTAGTAGTATTAAAAAAGTGGTGAATAATACTCTTAAGTGGTTCAATTCCCCGCGGCGACTAAATTTTGCAATCAAGGTTGGCGGCCACTTGTTGGCTTCAAAATGGTCCTGACGATGAATTTGACATCTGATTTTGATATTTAGCGCGATTTGGCACCAAACCGTAGGCGCCAACCCAAATGCAAAATTTAGTCGCCACGGGGATCGAACCCTTAACAGTACCTTATGCTCTTTTTTGTGCTAGGCCGATGTCAGACTTTGCGAATCGCGCGATTCGCTAGCGTCTGCGGTCGCGTCGCGGCCAGTGAATCACTCAATTGGCTGGTACCGCAACGCGACCGCGGACGCTAGCGAATCGCGCGAATCGCTAGTAGCGAATCGCGCGATTCGCAAAGTCTGACATCGGCCTAAAGACGATTTCACAGGAAGAGGTACTACGGTTTTTGTTTACCCTATAGGCATCATAGGGAATATTGCAAACAATTCGAAAAAAGCGTCGGCTAATCCCTCGAAGAACCCCCCCTTGTGAGACTGTCTGTCTGGATAATTGTTGGTCACCAATGATAAGTTAGAGAAAGACAGGGTTGGGCTAAATCTACAGGCTGGAGATTGCTCCTTTTCTTGAGCGCCCGTCGACTTGATGGGATGCGCTTTTGGGTTTATTAGCTTTTTCATTTGCTCTCTCTATTATTGATTGTCGAATAGCAAATTTGTGTTTCAGGGGAGTTCTCAGGGCTCACGAAAAGCTTAGCCCGGGAGACCCAGCATCTTGAGTTGTGATAAAAATTTCCAGTGTACATTGATCGCGAAATTTTTAAGAGGTTAAAGGGCAAAGTTCGGGCTCAGACCCACCTAATAAGCCCTTAAAGTGGCTAGAAGTGCATGGGACGCAGCTGCAGGCGACTCGCCAAGTTCCCGCATCCAAATGCGTCACTAAGGCGCTAGGGGCCAAGGACTTTGACACGCTCCTCCTGTTGCGACACGCTCCGCCCACCGCTCGATATTTTGTCTGCGTCGCTGATCTGCTATGCTCTCTCTTCTCGGATTTCTCTACCGCTCTCCGCGCTCACATTATCTCTCATCTCCCTGCCGGCCTTTTGAACTTCTCCGCAACGTAGAGCAAAAGGCTCGTATTTCCTGTGTATTTCAGATTTTTTTCCTTTTTTCTCCACTGGCGGTCACCCTCCCGCCCCTACATCACATTTGAGTAGAATTACCTCATCAGTTTAAGCTTGAATCTTGCCTTTAATCTCAGTCAGCCTGCTGCAATACCAACCATACAAAATGGATTGCCATCACCGACGTCCCGTGACGCTCGAAAACAACCGCGGCCGATGGCCATCAATAGGTATACCTACAAAGTGGGGTATCTCTTCGTCATAGATTAGGGAAGTATCCTGATTTTCTACTGTTTTCGATTATTTGTTGTCATTCTCTTTACTGGTATACTGTATTGAACCGGTCCAGACCCTACCCAGTGTTCTTTTTACTCGAGTAATTGTAAATATCAGTTATGTTCTGCTGTTTTTGCCTTCTTTACTAGTCTCAATGAAGTTGTTATTGCTAAGTCACACCTGGTGCCCACCGGCATGATGGCAAAATAAACAATAGCCTTTTGTTCGGAGCATTTTTGATTTCAAACCTGGTCAGACGGGAATTTGTGTTCGGGTGTTCACTGGGGGACAACTAAAATGCCGACAAATAATTTATTCTGACTATATAATACACTTAAATTGAGTTGCACATGTAATAAATAAATAAATAAATAAATAAATAAATAACGAGGAGACAGTTACTTGGAGTAACCGCTCTTTTGTGCGAGCCGGGACCGTTTCTCACTAATTCTGAGGTCATAATTGTCCGATCTGGGCAAGGACAGTACTGCGCGTCTTCTCCTGGCACTCCAGGTAGTCCTGGTGCTCCAGGTCCGCCGTTCTCGCCATCCCTTCCAGGATTTCCTGCAGGTCCTTCGGCTCCAGCCTCACCATCTATTCCGGGAGCACCTGGCTCTCCATCAGCACCTGGGTTGCCAGCAGGGCCCTTCCGGTCCTGGTTCTCCAGGAGGTCCAGGATTACCTCGCGCATTCATCGCGTTTTGACCGGGTGCCCCTGGTGGTCCATCAGCTCCTGGCTCACCCACTTCTCCAGCATCTCCTTCTGGACCATCTTACCAGGTTGCTCATTTCACCAGCTTCTCCAGGGGGCACTATCGTTGCATCTGGCGACAGCTGACCTTCGGCGACCATTCAGGCAGGTGGTCCAGGCTCTCCTGGAGGACACATGATGCAAGATGAATCCTTCTCCTTAGTTGGGATGTCGTAGGCAGGAGCGGTATTCGCCATTCCCGGTTGCCCATCTTCACCATCGATTTCCAGGCTCTCCAGGTGTTGGGTACCCGGTGGTCCTGGTGGTCCAGCTGGGCAATTGTTGGGTTGTGCTCCACAATTGCTGCAGGTCCCTTCCGAGACTTTGGCGGCGGTATCGTGCCTCTTCACAGCTATTCTTTTTCTTCCAAATACCTGACGAGGAGATCGACCTCAACGTACAGTTATGGGAGATACATTTTTTGTCCAAGCATCATTGGCAATAATCTGAAATCTGGACGATAATCCATGGAAGTATAAGTCATAGCAGACAGGCTCACCTTGAATTCCTCCATGTCTTTCATGGTGTCGTCGAAAAAAGTTGTTAATATCGTTGTAAAGGTAGGCAACGGTGACGAGAGCGGCCAGAATTGCGATACCGCTAGCACCCGGAGGTGATTCCGACGAGGACACGTGCCATGACTGAACTGGCTCGAGCTGAGCTAAGCTGCTTGCCATCGTCTAGACTGCTTCTTTATATAGCTTGGCCGTCGAAGGTGGGAATAACTTGCTATGCCAACTTGCGCAGGAGGTCATTCACAGGTGGACACCTATCGGATCCACGCGATCTTCAAAGCCAGCCAGTATTTCCCAGACCGCTCGCAAGATATGCTACGAAGTTCGATGAATGAACGTTGCGCAACATGCAGCACGAGGAAGTTCAGTCTGGTCCACCCCTTGATCGGCCTTGCCGTCCGCGACATCACCTCTTTAGTTGGGACTCAGCACTTCCTGAGCCGCTCCTCTTAAACATTTCTTTAGGTGTCTTTG